CGGCAGTTGTCTCCCACGCCGCCGCCTGATTTTCCGCCGAGTCGTGGACTAGATCCTCCGGATATGGCCCAAGCTCCGTCAGGAACCTCTCAGGGTCCATCAGTCGCCTGGGACGGAACCCTCTAGGTGGTTCCGACACCCTGCGGCGAGGGGGAGCGGTCCGGAAGTCCATCCTAAGGAGAGAGTGATCTGACCATGATCAAGGAGGCTAACTGCTAGGTTCACAATGAAGAACATTATAATACAAAGCCCTTTGGAATAAACAGATATTTCTAAGCAAAACATTTCTATGTGACAACATGAAGGTTCAAATTAAACTAACACCAATATTCTGCAAAGACAGTTAAGTATACCTTTTTGAGAGCCTTAACACCAGCTGGTCTGTTTTCCAAGCCCATGTAAAGTCTTCCCAATTTTAGCCACATGGATGCCACATTGAGGGAGTAAGAAGGATAGTGCTTACTGCAAAATATAAACACACATTTGCTTATAAAAGAGAATTTCTTAGATATCCAAGAGGTATCTATCACAGCCCTGCCTTAGCTTAACTTGACCACAAGGACAAACATTTGCTTTAGAGACAGTGGATGTTTCACAGTATTTTCATGAAAGGAACTTTGGTCAACTGATGCTCAACAGATCAAGATATTTTTTTTTACATTCATTTAGATTGCCATTGAGGGAGGAGGCAATCCAAGAGAGAAAGTATTAATACACCAGACCCTTAGTGGTTTTTTAGCCAGCCTAAACTAGTTTAGGAAATTAGGCTCCAAGCCCATAAAAGCTAGGCAAGGATCAGGGGTGATAAATCTGATTTTGGCCTCAGGGGAAGAGTGTGCTGTTGTGCTTTCCCTATCACCACTCCCCGCCAGCTGATCTATGACTTCACATTGGCATCTGATTCAAAGGGAAAGAGCTGTATTCCCAGCTACAGGAAAAATTATGCTCTAAGATAATTTATCAAGGAGCCTACTGATTCCTGGCTCGTGCATCCATACATACAATTCTGAGGTTTACAAGGCTGGCGGTGATGCTTTCTGTCAACAGGCTATAAAATGTAGCCTTTTTAGAACAATCTTGTTTATAGCCTTATAGCCTTAAAACTAAAATACCTAAGTATAAAGAAGTCTTGTACAAATCTGCCATTTCAAAGGAATGCTAGTTCTTCCCACATAGAAAGTGAGTTAGTCCTCTAGATTTTGAACAGGGACTCCCACAACCCTTTCCTTTTGTTCATGATGGCTGCAGACTATGATAGCTGTATTCCAAAGCACCTGGAGGCAATCGGACTGCCTATCTGTGTCATGCAGAAGTGCCCATACCTCAGTAGCTCTTTAAAATCCAAGCCAGTGAAATCTTTTTCCAAACCAAATGCCTCGGGAAGCCTACCGAAGTACCTCCCGTAGGCCAGAAGGCTGCCATAAGAACCTGCCTTCCTCTTCTCCTAAAGCTCTGCTGAACTTTTGTCAATTCCCAACTGCCATGAGTAAAATAGAAGACCAACCAGTTACAGTAGCATTGCTGGAGGGGAGCAAGAGGACAGACATACCGGGGAGAAAAATGTTGGGAACATAGGATCAAAGAAAGCTGCCTTATATGAAGACAGGGCAGAGAGTACAGCAACAATTCAGTTCCTTCAACAATGTTTCCAGCCGTAACTAGAAAAGCTGACAAATGAACCTGTGATCATTTTGCCATGTAAAGCATCTATATGAGTGAGTTATTGTCCTCTTCATGAAGGATAGGAAAATCTCCCAAATTGATTACTTATAGGGTGCTTAAATGCATGGTTATCCTAGCATTCTGTTTTCTGGGCAAAATCTGCTTCATATTTTGTGACATCAAAACAGATCCATGAATGTTCTTAATTTCATGTGAGATCTCTAATGATAGAACAGGCCAGAGATCTGAGAGAAGGTGTTTTTTTTTTATCATAGAGCCTACCACTTGACAACCCCCAGGGATAAGATGCTTTATAAAATTTCAGTCATACTGGGTTTGTTTACATAGTCAACATCCATAGTTCTCTTCCCACCTTACTAGATCTTTCTCTAGAACTTTTCATCTAATCTTCCAGAGAAATTTATTTGTTTCTGTTATATATCTTTCATCAAATATCATTGTAATGTCGTTAAAAGTTGTTGTCTCAAGACAACTGACTGTCACCATAAACAGACTTATGTTGTTTTGGGTAATTGTGTTAGGTAATTTTATATTAGTACATGAACACCAAAGTGTTTATGAATGTGTTTCTTTGCTCATTGAAATGAAAGCCAATGGTGTGTTTAGTTAGATGTATTTTTTTACAAATATTATAACTATATTAAACAAATTACAAGAGGAAAAGTCAGGTACCTATATGGCTTAATAATCTTCTGCCCGTAGCGCAAAGCACCCTCCCAGTCTTGTATGTACAGACAAACTCCCATGGCCTGATACATCATATGCAACATGTAAACATTACTCTCTGCAAACATGGAACCCATCTTGTCCAGACTGAGCTCACAAATCTCCTGCAGTTCACCTGGGGGTAAGCCAAGAGTTAAGGTACATAACAAATAAAAACTATATTTCCCAGGTTAGGTTTCTGAATATTATGGCCCATCATTACTGTCTCAGCTGAAACCACAAGGATGTATGCTCTAAGCCTTCTTGCTTTTTGTTCTTATAGAGTAGAATTTAAAGAGATATTAATTTTAAATATGTAGCCTATTAGCTAGGATCTTCTCTAAAGGCCTAGATAGAGGAATTATGGTGATGATGGTTTCATTCTTATGACATTTGGCCTTTGAGGTGCTGCACAGTTTCAGCTTATCTTTGCATGTTGTTTGAACTCTACACAAAACAATGTGAGGTAGATTGACAATAGGATTTTGATGATACTAAATATTTGTTTTCATTCAAGGGCGATAGAGGATGTCTTCAATAAGGACAGATGGAAACATCATTCTATTTCCAATCCACCTCAGTTTTATGTCATATAACTGTCCCATCCTGTTTCCATACCCAATCTTTTTTAGCTTATATGAACGTTAATGAACATTTTTACCAAGCCTATTTATAATACACCTCATATATTATCTTAAATGTTCAAATTATGGTTCCAATAGGCATGCATGTATACATTATTTTTTTAAAAAAAATTATATACAATTTGAGCTGGGAAGTATACTACAACATTCAAAGAATGACAACTGTTTTTTAATTTGTACATTAGTCCAGGAACCATGAATTAGGATGGCTTAACAATGCAGTTCAAATAAAATTCTTAAAAGTTACTATTTGAGAGCTGTAACCCATGTTTGTGGAAAATCATTTTTGGATATGCCTCAACAAGTGAGACTGCTAAATTGAACTGAAATTTCAGCTTTGCAGAAATGGACACAAGAAAGATAACACCAAAGGATATATTTGTAATGTTTGGCCCTCCTGAATTCCTCAATCACATTTCTGGCATATCTGATCATATCTCGCACAGCCTCCGCTGACAGAGGCTCATTCAGTTTACGGATTTCCAGTTTATCTTTGTCCTGAGGGAAGATTTATAAGAAAGTTACAAAGGCTATTCCAGAAACAAAAAGCAGATCCACAGGCAAACTGGCAGTAACTAAAACTGATCAAAATGCTTAAGGCATCTTAAAACCTGGTTCCTTCTGGATGTATTGGCTAATTTCTATCAAACTCAAAGCCATGGGCTAGTTACTGTGACCATGATGAGATCTGGAAGGCCCTAGATTACAGAAGACTGACAAAGAAGCAAGTTAAAATTAAGTACAACTTTAATATTCAATTTCAAAATGAGATCTGACTTTATTGGAAGGCTACAGTTCCATCTATAAGACAAACATTTTTGAGAAAGTAAGACAGCAGCTTCTAGTTTTCATTCATAAATCCCGACATGGTTGGGGTGAGGGATCTATGACCTTTGTACCTTTGGCTTCTGACCGTTTCACCTATCTGATCTAAATTATGGAATGCTTTTGGAAAAGGTCATTGCATGGTAACAGAAATAAATGCTGTGGTTAAGCTACAATAGAAAGGAAAGCAGGCCGAAAATATGAAATGGAAACTTAGCCTGAGTTTCAATCTCTCCTTAGCTCCCAAGTCTGTTTTGGGAGTCTCAAGTACTGCAGGTATTATAAAAATGCTTATATTATAAGAATAGTGTTGTGATCCGAGTAAGTCTACCAATCTAAATAATAAAGCATGTAATGGTTAAACTGGTTTACCTTTTCTTTTGTAAAACATTCCCTGCAATCACAGGTAAAAAAATAGGAATCTCTTAATCGATCATTCCTATCTTCTGTTGGATACAATAAGTCAATGTAACTGGTAAAAATCTGGGGAAAGAAAAATGATAATTTTCTAACAGCACACAGATTTTAATATAGTCCATCTTATGCTAGACCTGGAAATAAACTGTACATGCCATGCATATGAAATTCCAATGACAATTATTTTTAAAACTACAGGACATAGTAAGCTTTATGCCAATATATGTTTCTCCCTGCATGCAAATAAGTAAACAAACAAAAAAAATTCAATGGACCCAAGAAAATCATAATTTCTAACTAGACTCTGTTACTGGATTGTGAATGCTGGTTTGTTTTGCTTAATAGATATAAGAAGAGCGAGACTGTCCAGTTTAGTACAGTGGTTAAGGTGCTGGCCTAAAAACCAGGAGACTGTGAGTTCTAGGCTGGCTGACTTTGGGCCAGTCACTCTTTCTCAGCCCAACCCACCTCACAGGATTGTTGTGGGGAAAATAGGAGAAGAAATGAGTATTAGATATGTTAGCTGCCTTGAGTTACTTATAA